TTGGTATCCCAGCCCCTGGGGGACTGAGTAAGGGGAATCACTTTTAATAAACTTCTTTCGTACTATTGATGATTTTTATTGCGTGAGGTTTTCTTGAGCCTAGACGGGGATGTTAATTAGATTTTATTATGGGGCATGTGGTGGGTGTGCTTATCGCTGGGGAGGAGACGGGGGTGGCCAGATAATGCCGGAGGGGATTATGGCTTATTAAAAGGCTTATGAAAGTCAAAAGAAAAGTTTACTTCATTTCAGTTAGTTAAGCGCCAATGAAAGCCGCCCACTTGAGTATTGGCCAAGAGCAGTGGCAGTGGCAGTGGCTGTGGCAGCGGCAGTGGAAGAAAAAGTTTCACCAGTGCTTCGTTGCCAAATGGCCAATAAAAATGGCCTGACTTAGGTCCCAGTCCCTAGGTCCCCCGTTCGGTGAGCTTTGGCAATTTTACAAGAATTTTTGGATTAGCCTCCGCTGGCAGTTTATGGCCAGGCACATAAATTCAAATGCCTGCAAAAGCATAAAATCAAATAAAAATCTGCAATAAACATCAAATTGACAAACACGTTGAGTGCAATATTGGTCCCTTTTTGGGGGCTCCTCACCCCCCACTCCAACTTATTAACATGACAACTTTTCGGGCACACAAAATTTCATTTCATTCCATATACATATATTTTTCATTTGGTTTATTTAAGGGTCTAAATAATTTTGCATTTTTGTGGGCAACTGTTTGCGTTTTATAGATTTTTGTTTTCAATTACCGAATGGCAGCTTCAAAAGAACGCAAATAAATTTGATGAACTGGAAGTACAGTGTGCACTGATTTGATTAAAAATGTTAAATGATAAATGGTATGTAGATAATCGCAGAAAATGGTACCAACCATTTCTATGTGCCAGTTGCAGGCCCCTGAGAGTCGTACAAACATTGATATGACTTCTCTTTAATTAACCCATATACCCTGTATAATCACTGAATCATTCAGCAAACAAAGTTAGTGTTCATTTTCTCTGATATCACAATGCAACAGACAACTTTTTCTGATAGACTTTGACAATATTTAGGCTAGGTTTTTTGAATGAAAAAAATTTTATGTTTTTTTTTTTGAATGAATGCCTTTTTTATAACCTGATTACGTTGTAGCTTCAGCTTAACATTTGGGAAATATTAAGCTTTCAAATGCAAAATTATTCATTTTTATGTGGAATTTTTTTAAATTTTTACCTCTAAAAACTCTTGAAAAGTCGAAAAAAATTCATTTCTGGTTTTTAACTAATTTTATGTGGAAAATTATTCATTTTTATCCGGTATTTTTTAAAAATTTTAACATTAAATACTCCTGAAAAGTCGAAAAAATTATTTATTGTGCTTAATTAATTTCTTGTGCGAAATAATTCATTTTTAGGGGGTATTTTTCAAATTTGTATCTTTAAAAACTCTCGAAAAGTAGAAACAAGTTTTTTCTTGTGCTTAATAAATTTTCATGCTTAATTATTAATTTTCATGCTGTATTTTTAAATTTGTAAAAAAAAATTTCTTGTGTTTTTATGCGTTATTTTTCCTAATTTTTATACTTAAAAACTCTTTAAAAGTCGACAAAATTATTTCATGTGTTGTTATAATTTTTTTATAGGTTCTTTAATGAGGCGTCGATGCAGGTATCTTTTACAAAAATCCATGGATAAACGGCTAAGGTCTTATATCTTACTTCGATTGCTGCTAACCATTTTATTCATAGATCACTGTAGAATGGGTTTTTTTTTTCTTTTGCTCCAGGCGTTCGTTGCCTTGGCTATCATGGGTCCGGAGGTCCGTCACAGACAGGAGGCACATTACGCTTGAGTGGCTTCCAGGGTGGAGCTCTTGCTGCACCTCAAGAACACCTCAAGAACACCTCAAGACCTCTTCTAGTTCACTTTCTTTGGGTTATTCTACCCCAGCAATTGTGAGAGCAATTGTGCGCACTTTTTTCACCCAGCTTGTCCTGCGCATTTTAATGTTCTTTTTTCTTTAGGTTTCCCCCTTTTTTTTTTTGATAAATATTGCTGAAAAAGAGATGAAAACATGCTGGGCACGTGCTGATTGATGTAAAATGCGTAATGAGCGCGGTTAGGTTTATGGGCCAAAGGAAGGGAAAAAACCAACGAAGAAAGAAATGAATGAAGGAATAAAAAGGTCTTCGAATAGATAACGACTGAAAGAGGTAAAGTTTTCTAATTATAATATACATGGCAGTTAGCCGAGTGAGTCGATGGGTGGAGGCATCAGCCATTTTTATCTTTTTCCTTTCTTTAGATTTAATTTCTTTGTTCAAGTTCGAGGCAAAACGGCAATTATGAAAAAATAATCGCTGTGGGGAGTTCTGGATATGATTTGTGTGGGTGCTAATAAAAGGTAAGGAAATTGTTGACCTCAAGGCATCGATAGATGTGGAATAGGTTTTGATTTGGGAATGGCTTTGGTATATGTTACGGGTTAGCATGTGTTTGTACGAGGCTGGATAATATTGTAGATGTAGGAGGAGTAATCCAGCAAGCAGAATGAAATGTTTGTAGGAGGATGGATTGCTTTTCTAAATGTAGTTTTCCAACAATGAACCGTGCGCGAGCCCGCTCTCAGGAGCTGTCAGATAGAGCTAACAGTGAACTGTAAACTAGAGCGACCAGAAGATTTTCAAGAAGAGCGCTAACAGTGAGCTCTAACCGGGAGACCCACAGGCTGTTAATTGAGATTGGGAACATACTGTTAACCTGGTCTGTTGGACAGCTCTGTTACCCTGTTATTGCTTCCGACCTGAACAAAATCCAATACAAATAATATATCCCTATACGCTTGGAGTATCGGATATAAAAAGAATGTATGCCAAACATCAATTCTATTAAATTGTTTTCCAAACAGTCAAAACATAGTTTTATTTATCCGAAATGCTTAAAGTTCAAAAAATCAAAATAAATAAACCTAAAAATAATTGAATTATAATATAATTTGTCATGCACTTAATAAGTCTACACAAAAGCGTCCCTAACATTGGTCGCTTAGTTAGGTCGCTGTTGATAAGATATTTTCATTATCATCAATTTCAGCAAACAATTGGATGGAAATTTACTATTTATCAGGGCCAACAACCGATTTCTGTCGACTGTTATCTGTAAAAACCGACTGCAACATCAGAAAGGGTCAGAAATGATACGCAACAAAGAAATGGGGATGTGACCTTAGGTTACCACAGGTATACTCAGTCTGAGATGATACTGGGTGGTCCTCAAAGCTATAGTGACCACAGTGTAGCCCAAGAAGATCACTATCAAGGCCGTGAGTCCAATGCGACCGAAGAGCACCGAGAATATGTCCACGCTGTAGTACTGCATCAGGGACATGTCCTGTTCAACGATTCGCATATGATCGGCACCGTTGTGCCGCAGCACGTACTCGGTCCACCAAATGGCCGTCTCCATCGGAGTCATGGGCTGATCGGTGAAACGCATGGACAGCTTTTTGGCGTTTTTCGCATAGCTGTCATTGTTGAGAAGCTCGTGAATCGTTTCGACGACCTCCTCAAGGTCCAGAGCATAAATATCAAGAGTCTTGGCCATGCCCAAACGTTCCAATCGATCGGCATTCTTGAACTGATCGAAATAGGCGGGAATGCAGAGCATGGGCACAGCATAATAGGACGCCTCAATGATGGACAAAAGTCCCACCTGAGTGATGTAAAGCTTCACATTCGGATGGTTGAGGATCTCTCGCTGTGGATGCCACGGTCTCACGTACAAGTTATTCGATTCATTCGGTGTCTGAAAAGTGGTTCTCCAGACAACGCGCTGCTTGAGCCGAGCAAAGGCGTTTAGCATCGTCTTTTGCATGTTCGGCGGCAACCATTTATCCAGCATGTCCGAGTTCATTGAGAAGTATATCGCACCATGCACGGCCTCATCCAGAAAGCCCTGAAGCTCTGCACTCAAAGGCTCGGGTTTCTGGCTGAGATGCATGCCGCCGACCTCCACCAGGTTGGGTACATTCGATCGCACTCGACCGAGACTGAAATGCTGATTGAGCAAGATCAGGGAAAATTTCTTGCGAATCTCGTGAAGACTGCTCGCATCAAAAGAGAAGTATCGCTTGTAGAGCTCAATCTGACCCGGTAGATAGATAAATCTCTCCACCAGTCGCTCTTCGCTGATAAATATCAGATTTTTCATTTTCTCAACGAGACTGAGGCCGCGGGAGAAGCCCAGAGCGGACATGGGCTCATAGACACTCGGCGCCGAATTGCCGGCTAGGAAGTCAATGTTCCAGGCCCCACCAAAGGATGAAATGCCCACCAGAGAGGCATTGTAGTGCTTGGCAAAGCCATAAAGGGCGTCTGTATGGGCTGCCTCCAGGATAACCATCGAGAACTGGGCACTGGCATTCTGGAGCAGGGAGCGCACGCCAGGCTCCTCGAGAATCAGCTTGGAACAGTTGTAGAAGTAATCAGCGACGAACGAAGCCTCTGCCCATTTGCTGGTCATTTCCGTCTCATAGTCGTACTCCTCGAGGTCTGTGAATGTATGGGTTTATTAAAGTCCAACTATCTCTTGAAGTGCCCATACCTTTACTCAGCTTTTTCAGGCTCTCCACGCGTATATGCTGAACCCCTTCGATGTCGCCCATGTAAGAGACTGGCGCCGATATCACAGTCAGTTGGTGTCCCCGCTGGACGAGGTTCTGTAGATAGGGTTTGACTAGCACATAAGAGGAACCAAACGAATACGCAAATACCGCCAAAATGTTGGCAGTCTGGGCGGTCTGCTGGCCAAGTAGAGCCACGACCAGCAGACCAGCAAAGCCCAGGCGCCTCACCATCCTACACAAAGCAAACCGCACATGTCGCAGCTCAAAATGATACTGTTTTCTGATAGCGGAACCACCTCAATCATTGGCGAAAATTTTATCAGTAATTGAGTGTTTGCTGAAGCGTTACGTCGCACTCTTGGCTCTAGGGCTAGTCAGTCAGTCAGTCATAGAGAGATCACTCGTTCGACATGTTCATTCAGTGGCGATGGCTTCTAGCGACCCTGTTGTGGCTGGTGGCTCGGGCAGAGGCCGACCAGATTCTTGTGATCAATCCCTTTGAAATGCACTCGCAGTGTCTACTGATGACACCATATATAGAGGCACTGGCACGTCGGGGTCACCAATTGACAGTGATTCATGCCTTCGAACTGTGCAAGCCCATAGAAAATGTGCGCTTTATACACATCATGGATGACTATGAGGCCAATACGGGTGAGTGAAAGATTTAAGATCCCAACTTTGAATCACAAATTCCTGATTCCTTATACAGACATTGCGGAATTCATATATAGCTCAACCGTTAGCAAATGGCGTGAGGCGGTGTCTATAAGGAACTACATGATCAAGGCCTCCCTGAATATACTCCAGAATGTGGAGGTGCAGGCTCTACTCCGCTCGAATGCCACATTTGATATGGTGGTAGTGGAGCCGGGCTTTACCGATGTCATGTTTGCTTTCTCCACACATTTTAATGCATCTCTGGTGGGTCTGGCCACATGCGGTGCCGATTGGAATTTGAATAACCTGATGGGTCATGACTCGTCGCCGCTGCTCGAGCCAATGCTGCCGCTGGGTCTGAAGGCCGTGGACAGCCTTTGGAGTCGCATCTACAACTTTTACTACATCTCCGAGGAGTGGCTCCTGATGCAGTTGGTATTCCTGCCGAAGCAGCGGCAGCTGCACGATCATTTCTTTGGCCATCTCGACCAAAGCTTCAGCGAGATCAGGCAAAACTTTGCGTTGATATTGCTAAACCAGCATTTCAGTCTGTTTGCGGCCCGTCCGAGTGTCCCGGGCATGATCGAGGTGGCTGGTATGCATGTCCCCCTGGAGGATCCCCCACTCACAGCCGATTTGAAGCTGTTCATCGATGAGGCGCCGCATGGTGTGATCTATTTTTCCCTCGGCTTTGATCTGCAAACCAAGGATCTACCACGGGAGACTGTACAAATGCTAATGGACACCTTTGAGGCAATGCCACAGCGCGTTATTTGGAAGTTCGAAAGTAATCCATCGGCCAAGATCAGCGGCAATATCTATATGGGCGGACTGCTGCCGCAGCAGGCGATACTGGCCCATCCGAATGTCAAGCTCTTCATCTGCCACGGCGGCATGTTGAGCATCATCGAGGCCGCGTACTATGCCAAGCCTGTGCTGGGTTTCCCTCTCTTTTACGATCAATTCCGCAACATAGATCGCCTGGTCGTTGAGGGTGTGGCCCAAATTCTGGACATCAATGCCGTAGACAGAGAAGAGCTGGCCGAAACCATTCAGCGGATGATCAAGCTACCGGAGTATCAGCAAAACGCTTTGTTTGTATCAAAAAGGTTTCGGGATCAGCCGATGCCTCCTCTGCAGACGGCCATCTACTGGACGGAGTATGTCCTGCGCTACAAAGGAGCCCGTCACATGCGCGTCTCCACCTCCCACATAAAGCTCATAGACTACTACTGTCTGGACAAGCTCCTGATGATCTTTCTGCGTCTCTCATTTGTGGTGGGTGTTGTCTTTGCGGCGCTTTCCAAGTGGACACACGCCCTTGATTGGTTGACCAAAATGGCACTTCGTTTGCAAGGCATCCAGCGGGCTGCGTAGTTATATTTTCGTTTCGGGTTGTAATTATTTTATTGAACCTTTATCTAGATTACAGCAGGGACAATGGAATGATAAGTGAGGCAAACACACGGGTCCCCTATCTAATCTCGATTACCCTTTTTATTTATGCGTATTTAAAAGTGTTTCCAAGTTTCATTTTTATACGATTCGGCTAAGTGTTTTGGGGCAGAGTTTAGTAGTCAGACATCTCTGGAATTCCAGGTACTACAGCCCCTGGGGAATGTTTGTTGTGATTGATTTGTGAAAGACAGAATTTAGTTATAATTTAGCTTGCGCAATAAAATTCTATTTACTTATAAATAATTTAAAACAGCAGCTGGTTTTTAATTATATGTAAGATAAAAACAGGTTTTAGGAAGATGCAAATACTACGTATCTTCATGTAAGGCACACGTTAAGCAGCTCTAGAATTATAAAAACTACAAAAACAAATGGTAATATACATAAAAAAAAAGAAAAACAGCCATATTTCATTTAATAATTCGGTTTTTAAACACATTAATTTACATTAAATTTAATGGAATTCACTTTAAATGTTTTTTTAATTTTTAATTTAATTAATTAAACCATAAAACAGTTTAAAATAAATATTATAAAATTTTCAATTTGCAGGAAATATATTTAATATAAATATAAAACAGTTGAATTCATTTGAATATATAATATTATCACAGATTTAACAAAAATTAAAAAAAGCAACAAAAATGCGTGTCATCAAGTTTAAATATGAAATATATTTATTATAAATATGAAAATATTTTATATAAATAAAAATTTTTTTTATCTATATGTATATAAAAATAATAAATATGAAAACATTTAATGTAAGTATAAAATATATTTCAATCAAATATATGCAAGTGAAAGCAATAAATAATTTTAATAAATATATGGGTATATATAAATATATTTGCAAAGTACTGGTATATTTAAATATATTTATATTAATTTATAAATTTATTTTCTCGATTTGTTCGATTTTCGGGGCTTTTTCTCTACGGCTTAAACATTCCTTATAACTATATATTATAAATAAATATATAGAATCATTGTGTGCTCAATAAAAAAATACTTACATTTTCCATAGAATTTTTCCAATTGAAATTTGAAATATATTTTTTCTTTTTATTTATTTTACTTATGATGTTTCCTATAGCAAAACTTAAATGATCAACACTCAATTATGTGTAGGGTACATGACAAATAGTTCTCGGAGCACAAAAGGCGTGTTGTTTAATTAAAAATTTACAAAAAAAGAGTGATGTAGGGAAAGAGCAATGAACAAAGACAGAGAGCCTAGTATACTCCAAGAGAGTAAATGCTAGCCAGAGGGAGAGAGAGAGAGAGAGAGAGCGATATTCTCTCAACGATTGCATAACAACCTCAAATGTTGTGTATAAACAAACAACAATGTTGTCAAGAGCTAAAGCCGGTGACGCCTTCGATATATATATGTATAAATTAACAAAAAACATCTAATGCCTCGCTCCAGTGAACATATTTTGTATGTGTTTTTCTTTTGGGGATCCGATACAAACAGTAGACCTCCCCGACATTTGCCGATAATTATATGGCAAAGGTTTTTGTCAGAGATTAGTTGTCGTTTGCTGGCGGAACGATTTGGTTGGACATGAGAACTCCCTGCTGTTTGCTGGCCCTGGGCCTGGGGCTGTTTCTGCTGCTCAGTGTGGGGGCGGCTGATGAGAGGGTCCAAAGCTCAAAGATTTTGGCCGTATTTCCATTTACTGGCCGATCGCAGTATATATTCGCCGAGCAGTATCTCAAGGAGCTGGCGCGACGAGGTCATAATGTGACGGTAATCAACACTTTTGGCAGCGATAAAAACGAGCCCAACTTTCGTGTGATTGGTGCCACAAAGATACACGAATTGATGGCAGGTAAGCAGAGGAGAACCCACCTAATCGAGGGATATGCAGAGATTGTAGAGTATTTTTTGTGGCAGCCTTTGCTGCTGCTGGTTTCAGCCAACCGGCTGGACAGTGGAAAATGCTGTCCATGACCACGGAATTCCTCAATATGCTCACCGCCAATGTCCTGGAGGATGCGGCTGTCAAGGCCCTTCTGGAGAGCCGTGAGACCTTTGATCTGCTGATCATGGAGACGGTGCAGAACGAGGCCCTGTTTGGTTTGGGCCAGCACTTCGGTGCCCTCACCATTGGCATCTCATCGTACGGCACCGATCGACATATCGACGAGCTGATGGGCAATATATCCCCTCTGTCCTACAATCCCATGCTGCTGTCATCGCGCACCGAGCAGATGAGCTACGAGGAGCGGCTGTGGAATGTGTGGGAGGCTGCTGTCGTGTGGCTGCACAAGCGATTGGTTCATCTGCCCACCCAGAGGCAGCTCTACGGGAAGTACTTCCCCCAGGCCCAGCAGTCGTTGGAGCAGGTCATGGACAGCTTCTCGCTGATGCTGCTGGGCCAACACTTCAGCTTGAGCTATCCCCGACCCTATCTGCCCAACATGATCGAGGTGGGAGGTCTCCACCTCGAACAACAGCGAACGGTGCAGCCCCTGCCCGCTGACATTGCCGAATTTGTGGAGCAGTCCCCCCACGGCGTCATCTACTTCTCCATGGGATCGAACATCAAGAGTGCCGACCTGCCGCCCTCTACACGCAAGGTCCTGATGGAGACCCTGGGCGCCCTGCCGCAGCGAGTGCTGTGGAAATTCGAGGCGGATCAACTGGAGGACAAGCCGGAGAATGTGTTCATCAGCAAGTGGTTCCCCCAGCCGGATATTCTGGCCCATCCCAATGTGAAGCTGTTCATCACCCACGGGGGCCTGCTCAGCACCATCGAGAGCATCTTCTTCGGCAAGCCCGTACTGGGTCTACCCGTGTTCTACGACCAGCATCTGAATGTGCAGCGGGCCAAGCAGGCGGGCTACGGCCTGGCTGCCAATCTCTGGGGCAGCAACAGCACGGAGCTGCAGTCTCTGATCCACGAGCTGCTCGACAATCCCTCGTACGCGGAGGCGGCGCAGATCAAGTCCAAGCTGTACCGCGATCAGAAGGAGACTGCCTTGGAGCGTGCCGTCTGGTGGACAGAGTACGTGCTGCGTCACGAGGGCGCCGCACACTTGAGATGCGCCTCACGACAGTTGAACTTTGTCCAGCTCCACGGCTTGGATACATGGGGTGTGCTTGGGGCTGTCGCTGTTCTATCACTGCTCGTCATTTTGTTTGTGCTTAAGCTTTTAATAGAAGCTTTGTGTTATGTCATCTCCAAACGTCGTCGTGGGACAGAGAACAAATTAAAGGAACAGTAGGAATTGTGGGTAGCGTCGAGGTCAGCCAGTCAATTACTATCTGTAATAATAGTTATTATTAGTTATGTTATTTGTTTCATATCAAAGAGATTAACTAAATTCTGTTAAGCCATTAAAAACCACCGAATTAAACAAAAAAGTCACATATTTTAATCAATGGAAAACAGTGCTACTATAGAGACAGTTGAACAGGATTTTATGTTCATTTTGATAACTAACTTCAATAATGAAAGCTAGAATTATGTATTTTGAAATATACTCAAAAATAATCATAGAAATTGAACATTTCTATGGCAATATTGAGTTTAAAACGTATCCCACTGATGCTTTAACAATTTACAATTTTTAATAATTTTACATTCCCATAACTTAAAACCATTTATACTGCATGTATTTATAGAAAATGTAGCTAAAATTCTAAATATTTTTAAAACTCATAGATGGAAGGACAAGAGCTGGCTATGGGGGTTATATGAATAAAACCAAAGACTGTAGACTTTACCTTTCGTTGTCAGATTCTGGGGACCGAAAAGTACATAAGTCTTTTCTGCGCCTCGCCATTGAGGGTTGCGTGTATTGTTGTTGGATTCTGGGGACCGACTCAGCCCGCCAATGCTAGTACCCGGCACGGCCACACCACGAAGCATCTAATGATCAAGTATTATTCCTCATAAAATACCCTGAATATGAAAGAAAAAACAATATGCTCGTCGTTTGTTATTGGATTCTGGGGACCGACTCAGCTCGCTCAATCGAAAATTGAAGTATACCATGCCAATACCCCGAACGGGGTGGTTATATATTGAATTTCTTAATGGATATCTTGGAATCTTATAGTCTTATATATTCTCCAGACATGAATGAACATATAATATGCTTATAATAACACCCATGATAACTTAATCTTACCTAAACCTTATCCCAAGTTAAATAGCAGTATCAGCGCTTTAGTGCACGCACAATCCGGACAATCGTTCATCACGATTGCAATCTGAGCTGTCAGAAAAAAAACACACACAGAGGGAGAGACACGACGAGGCAATTGTCAGCAATTTAATCATGCCATATAGTATTCGCATACGAGGCTTACGAGATGCTGTGAGACTGGCGAGGGGGCATGGGGAGGCGTGTAGTTGTGGACTGCCTACAAATGCCCACCACAATCGGCTCTTTACTAAAATTGTTATCGCATGTGTATGGGGGCCGAGGTTTATTTAATGGGGTCTGGAGAATGCGCCACAGGTTACCCCACGATTCAGTGTGTTTCTGGTCTCCACTAGCATCGGACCGTACCCATAAAGATGTTGGCTTTGCGGCAGGCGCTGATAAGTCTACTGGTGCTGTGGCCTATCTACAGCCTGGAGGCAGCTCGTATACTGGCGATATTCCCCTTTCCGGGTCCCTCGCAGTACATCAATGTAGTGCCGTATCTGAAGGCATTGGCAGCGCGCGGTCACGAGGTGACCTCCATCAATGCCTTTCCCCAGAAGAAACCCCTACACAACTTTCGCGATATCCCAGTGCTGGAAGTGTTTAACAACTATGACGGTATTTCAGTGTTTTCCGATTCGAAAGTGTAGAGTAATGGCATCTGTGTTTGTTCTAGAAATCATCACCGACCTTGGCGATCCCATGAATCTCTGGGAGGAGAATGATTTCATTAACAAATTCTTTGTGGACATAACACGCGCTGTATTCCTGAATAAGGAGGTGCAGGAGACACTTTTACCCCCGGGAAAGGATCACTACGATTTGATTATTGTGGAGGCTCTACGATCGGATGCGTACTATGGCTTTGCGGCACACTTTAATGCCCCCATCATTGGGGTGTCGACGTTCGGGGCTGACTGGAATATCGATGAGCTGGTGGGGAATACCTCGCCCTTTTCGTATATTCCCCTGCAGACGACGGGCTTTACGGATCGCATGACCTTCCGGCAACGTCTCACCAACATTGTGGATACAGCGATTGCCTGGCTCAACTATAACCTCGTGCATATGCCCAAACAAGTGGAGATCTACGAGAAGTACCTCCCCGAAGCGGCAGCCAGGGTTCCTCTCAACGAGTTGAACCGAAACTTCTCCTTGGTGCTGCTCAATCAGCACTTTTCGCTGAGCTTTCCCCGTCCGTATGTGCCCAACATGATCGAGGTGGGAGGACTGCACATATCCCACAAGCCAGCGCCATTGCCCAAGAACATTGACGAATTCATTCAGGGCTCGGGCGAGGCAGGAGTCATATACTTCTCCCTGGGATCGAATGTGAAGAGCAAGGATCTGCCAGCCGAAACGCGTGAAACGATACTGAAAACATTTGCCAGCCTGCCGCAGCGGGTCCTGTGGAAATTTGAGGTCGACCAGCTCCCTGGAAAGCCACCGAATGTTTTCATCAGCAAGTGGTTCCCCCAGCCAGATATCCTGGCCCATCCCAAGGTCAAGCTGTTCATCACACACGGCGGACTGCTGAGCACCATCGAGAGCATACATCACGGAAAGCCTGTGCTGGGTCTGCCTTTCTTCTACGATCAGTTCTTGAATGTGGAGCGTGCCAGGCAGGCGGGCTTCGGCCTGAGCCTCGATCACAAGTCCCTGACTCAGCAGGACTTCAAACATACCATCGAGCGCCTGCTCAAGGAGCCACAGTTTGCGGACAAGGCCCGCCAGATGTCGGCCCGCTATCGTGATCAGCCGATGAGTCCCCAGGAGACGGCCGTCTGGTGGACAGAGTACGTCCTGCGGCACAAGGGTGCCCCGCATATGCGTGTGGCCGGCCAGGACCTGAACTTCCTGGCATATCACAGCATCGACGTTATAGCAACGCTCCTGGGCGGTGCTCTCTTGGGCTTGATCCTGGTGGTGTTTGTTCTCTGGAAGTTGGCTAAGTTTTGCCAAGGTTTTGGTCAATCAAAGACGAAAAAGCAAAAGAATCAGTGAGGAATAATACGATTTTTGGTATAAAAACTATTCAAAATTTCTTATTTTGTGTTTGGCTATGATTATGTGTATTTTCTTATACAAAACAAAGTGTGAGGAAGATAAGATAGTTATTTGAAATGAAAATATAGAAAAATGCCACAAAGTGATTATATTTCGTTGCAGTGTAATCAGAAGTCCCTCCCAGGTCAGCTCTTGTTTGATTTATGGCTTTGTTCCTTATCTATAAGAAAACAGAACCCACAGTCATGGTGGGCCTGCTCAGAAACCCTTAAAACGATCGCCGGTCAGCTCTCTCTTGCTCAGTTTCCTGCCAGAGTTCGAGGGGCCACGTTCGATCATGTCCGATCTGCGGTGGTGCTGCTACCTGCTCGTGTTGCTGCTTCCCAGCTACCTGGAGGGTGCCCGCATTCTGGCCCTATTTCCCATACCAAGTCCATCGCATTACTACTATGCCTTGCCCTATCTGAAGTCATTGGCATCGCAGGGCCATCAGGTCACATCTGTTAGTCCATTCCCTCAAAAGGAGTCTGTCCAGAACTTCAGGGATATTCCAATACCAGAAGTGCTTGAACATTTTGAAGGTAGGCTCTGGCCAACGTTGAGTCCCGGTGAAATCTCTACATATTTTTCTTTCAGAGTTTCTTTTGACTGCTCTTCAAGCCTCGTCCCTTTGGGACTCCAATAACATTGCCCACGACTACTGTGTGAGTCTCACAAAGGCTGTGCTGAACAATGACCAAGTGCGTCGCGAGATTCTCAAGCCAGCCAAGGCTCAGTTCGATCTCGTTCTGGTGGATCTTTGGCGGTTGGATGCCCTCTACGGCCTGGCAGCCTATTTCGATGCCCCGCTCATTGGCCTGGCACCCTACGGCACTGACTGGAAAATCGATGAATTGGCGGGCAATACCTCACCCATTTCCTACCTCCATTCGCCCACCTCCACGGCTGTGCTGCCAGATCGGGACTCATTCTACGGACGTTTAAGTGACTTTGTGGAGCGTTCAGTATCCTGGATCAACTGGAGGTGGAAATATCTGCCCAAACATGAAGAAATCTATCGGAAATACTTTAGCCAGCTGGCCGATAAAGTTCCTTTGGCAAAGGTCACCAACAACTTTGCTTTGATCTTGCTGAATCAGCATTTCGCATTGGCTCCCCCGCGGCCATATGTTCCAAATATGATTGAGGCCGCAGGACTGCACATTGATGATCAGCAGTCAGGGCATCTGCCCAAGGACATGGAGGACTTCGTGCAGGGTTCAGGCAAGGCGGGAGTGATATACTTCTCTCTGGGTACCCTTTTCCGGAGCAAATCCTTGTCTGAGGATCAGCTACAAGTGCTTCTGCAGACCTTTGCCAGTCTGCCGCAACGAGTGCTGTGGAAATACGACGATGACCAACTCCCGGGCAAGCCAGAGAATGTCTTTATCAGCAAATGGTTTCCCCAGCAGGCTGTCCTGGCTCACCCCAAGGTAAAACTCTTCATCACCCATGGGGGCATGCTCAGTACAGTCGAGAGCCTCCATTATGGCAAGCCCATGCTGGGATTGCCCTGTTTCTTCGATCAGTTCCGCAATATGGATCATGTCCAACGAACGGGTCTGGGCCTCGTCCTCAGTCTCCAAACAATGACTGCCTCGGACTTGAACTCTGCTCTACGCCGCCTGCTCACCGAGGAGAGTTTTGCCCTCAATGCGCAGGAAACATCGGCTCGGTATCGGGATCAGCCCATGACTGCTCTGGCCAAGGCCAACTGGTGGACGGAGTACATCCTGCGGCACAAGGGAGCAGCACACATGCGGGTGGCCGGCAGGGAGCTGGACTTTTTCACCTACCACAGCCTGGATGTCATTGGCACCCTTCTGGCTGGTGCCCTACTGTTTATCGTAGTCCTTGTGGGTCTGCTGTGGAAGCTGGCACGCATAGCTGGTCTTGGACAATCAGGAAAGAAAAAGCAAAAGAATCTGTAGGACATTAATTATTGATAAAAGGATTATGCTTTATAAATCTATAGAAAATGTATTTTTAGCCTTAAAACAAATGGAACTGTCTTTAAAATTCCACAAACTGTGAAGAAGGTTAGGGAATAAATACAAAATAAATCAAAAAATAAATGGGTGAATGGATTCCACAGAAGAACAGAGGAGTCCCATCTTTGCGATTGAAGTTTGTTCGAAATAGTGTTCCGATTTTCTCCGCCTTTTATAGAGCTGTTAAACTGCAATAAATGACATTTGTTTGAATTATTTTCACTAGAAAAAATTTGCTTGTCACCAAGGCTTCTTTTCCGGCTGTATATTAACATTTATGCGTGTGTCTACAGCTGATAAGGGTATCTGGCGTATCATTTGTGTTATCTATAAGAAATCGAACCAAAAGTTAGCAATGGTCAGGCCTCACCTAAGGCGCTAACTGTGGCTGTGCCTCCGATATGGCTGTCTGGAGGTAGATACAAAAGGCACAAAAGAAGCCTTTAAGAGAGTGAAATACCTATCTTCCGGTCCTTGATCTGTAGCTACATGGTGTGGGCCTTAAATAAAGCTGAAATTTCGAAAATTAATATACAGAAATACGCAAAATTTTTCCCTGTATAAATGCATAATATTTTCGTGTAATTCTAAATGATTTCCTGCCTCTTGATTGGCCTCTAGTGGACCCGCACACGCATTTTATTTGCCACCAAAATGATGGGGATATTGTGAATCGCGTATTTATTATATAACGATGCTCTTCTGGTCACACACAAAAGCTGCTCGATTGCCGATTGCCCGATTGCCCGTGTGCAGTGAATTATGGAATATGCATACAAATATTTTTCGGGTATCCATGCACGTGTGCGGTAAGAGAGAGAGAGAGAGGGAGTGTGCCTGCCTGTGTGTATTTATTAACCGCTGCCAATCAGTTGCATACGCTGCGTATGCGTAATATTAAATTGCATGGAGTCACTTCCGTTGGATTGGTTTGCAGCTCTCTGGCTGGCTGTGTTTTTGGCCGCATTGCCAAATGCGTAATCAAAAATTCATGAGCTATGCATACATATAAATGTGGTGTGGCTACCATAGCCATTAGCCCTTGGTAGCCACACCCCCCGCCTGCCCCTGCCACTGCCACTGGACTGTTGGTATGCAAATGTAGATAATTTCATGCGATTTAGGGTTTGGGGTGGGGGGTGGGGATGGTATACCAACGATTGATCCCCATTAAATGCCCATGGCTCCTGGCGAACAATTTAATGATGTCCTGTTTTGTGGTCTGACGCGTTTTTAATGAGCTCTCACATTTCGTTCACTGTTTAATTGCCATGGCAGAGGCAGACTTCTTTTTGCTCAATCTCGAAAACGAAAACGAATTATTCACGGAGTGTCAGCAAAATCCAATTTGCACTCACAGAAAATGTGTCACAAATGCTCTGCCGTGCAGTGCTGTGATCTGTGAATCTGAACGGAATGCTGTGACTTGGCCAAGCAAATCAAATGCTTCACAGCACTTTTCTATTTCTTTTTCCCAGTTTCTCTCTCTCTTTCTCTTGTTTTTACAAGAATTTTTGCTGCAACTGGCATTGCAAATTGGTGCGAAAATATGCTACAAACATCAAGTCCCATGTTCCGGTCACCTTTTTGCGATAGTTATATGTTCATGAGCATTTTTCATCAATTTTTCTCTACTCGACTCATGCAGACGTTTGCATTGGTTTTTGTTTGTTTGCTTTCCTCAGATTGGAAGCAAAGTGATTTCTTGGGCAAAGAGAATTTGGTAGTTTGAAAATGAAATTTATAGCCGAATCGAGTTTCAGTTTCCATGGCTCTTTTCTATTAGGGAAACTCTAGAATCTTGTGAAGAGAATCAAGGTTATACTTGCAGTATATTTAATAATAGTTCCATGATTGTTGAATAAACCTTTATAAATGTACGACTTTTTTATACATTCTGTTCAGGGGCAACAACAGCTTTAACAGGGCAAGCGCGCTGTTAAAACACCTGGTTGACAGTATGTTACCGATCGTCTTTTACAGTCTGTGGCCGCTACCGGTAACAGCTCGCTGTTATCGCTCGCCGCTAACAGCCAGTGGGCGCCACCAGTAACAGCTCGCTGTTAGTGCTCGCCTCTAACAGGCTGTGGTCGCTCCCGGTAACAGCTCACTGTTAGTCCTCTTCGTCAGCGCTCGCTCTCCCTCCCACGATCTAGATCTAATTACGTAAGAACAGCCTTGAAATAATACCGGGAATTATGGCGAATATATATCCCTTCCCTTCCCTCTCTTCACCCTCTGAGCATCAGTTAGAAACTATATAAAAAAGACCTTTGGCTATATATGCAGTATATCATATTTGATTTGTTGAATATTTATCGAATAAACCTTTTGGCATATCTAACTTTAATATACCTTTTTATATACCCTTAGTTTACCTACGAAGTTGGCAAGGGAAACAGCTCATCCCAGATCTGATATCTCTCCAGATTAAAGCCACCAGTTTTGGCTGTCAATTGTGTATCGATTTCCAGGTAAGATTTATCTTTATCATTATACAGAGGCCAATGCAGGTCTTTCAAGTACTCATCGGTCTTGTTGTGGGGATCCCTAGGAAGAAGGCTCCATCAGACTCTGTTGAGAATCATATCATATCAATTACTTACCCCTTTGCGGCAAACTCAAACCACATGCGTGTGAGGCGCTCTACCATTTGATTCTCGGGATCCTCACGCTTCAGAAGAGGACTCTCCAGAGAGACATGGAACAGATATATAAGTTCATCGTGATGGACAGCTCCTAAGAAAACACATATGTATACCTTTTAGAGAACACTCTCTCATTCAGTAAGTAATCTCTTACCCATGGCCTGTTGATTATCCGGATTCTTGAGGAAGCTATATCTGCCCTTATAGCGAAACAGATACGTATAGATGGGTGTGTGTGGTGCCATCAGGCGTACAAAACGATTGAAGGCCGATTGAAGGTGGCGTATCTGAACGGAAAGTGAACAGACGTGTTTCTAGTGTACCTCCAGTGATCATCAGGAAAAAACAAGCCTTAGAACCTCCTGAAAAAGGTAAACAAGTAAGCGCGTGGATTTCATTAGGAAGGGGTACGTACCGAGCCTGGCCCAAGCGTGAAGGGCAATCCCACAGCGCAAAAACCAGGTGAAATCGGGTGCTCCAGCCAGGGCTGAGGGGCGGAGGGGAAATCCAGTCCCGCTATCTCCCGCTCTCTCCCCACTGGGACCACAAAAACAAAGTTTTTCCGCGCGAACTTCACTTCACTTCACAGCGTTTTTCCATTCTCGGTGACACGAGCAGCTGATCGATATAGTAGCAGTGTTAGATAGTGCGCAAACTTTCAGGCAGCTGCACTATCGGCTACACAAATCTTGTAGCAACCAGCCGCCGACAAGCGTAAAACCAAAACAAAGAGGAAGAGGGAAAACAAAAAAAAACAAAAACAGAAAGGTGCATACTTCCAGGCGGAACTATTTGTTCTGGTAAGGAGTAAGCGATACCTGCCTACATCTAGGCCAAAATTAGCTAGCACAAGTCTAGATAGGGGAAAGGGCTGAAGGTCGCGGATCCGACTATTTTCCAACCCCCCCGCCTAGGCGGTGTCCCGGAAAAAGGGGCTCTGGGGACCGAGAAGGGGCGGTATATCCCCCATCGACCAGAAGCCAAGGGAAACCTGTGGCCAGCGCGGGATCCCCTATCGCCTGACCTGGTAAAGCAAGCGACATGGAGGTAGGAAACCCCTTTGGAAAAAGCGCAGCGATGGCATGATCGCCCCCTCAGCTAAAAGCCACGCCATTGGCACAGCAGCTGGCCGAATCGCTTAGCAGCCCTACCACGGCACCAAAGTCCCTGGCGGACGCGGTAAGCCAAATAGGGCTGATCTTGAAGGACCTCTCGACCCTGTTCACCGGCCAGAGGCACATCAACCAGCGGATGAGAGACAGCCTAACATAGCTGGTAAACCTGCAGGAGATGGTAGCCGACCTCACCAGCCAAGAAAATGGTAAGGTCCCCGAGCGCAAAGAGGCAGACACGCAGACGACGCCAATAGCTGCAAGTAGGAACGGCAGAGGGCTCGGCACACTGGAGAGGAGTCAAGCGACACCAAAACGTGCAAGGGAACCAACAGCAGGACAGAGGCAGACACCGCCGAAGAAGTTCAGGCCACGGGAGCGAACGGTCCGCGAACCTGAAACCCAACGGTCCCCAACTGGCAGCAGTTCGGTAGGAACCAGAAAAAAACAGACCACGAAAAAAACGCGACCAGACGCTGTAGTAATAGCGAGCGTAGGAAACATCACTTACGCGGAACTATTAAAATCGGTGAAAGGAGATGCAACGCTGAGCCATGTGAGCGGTGACGTGGAAAGCATCAGGAAGACAGCAAAGGGAGATCTGCTGCTGCGCCTCAAAAAAGCCCCGAGTCACAGCGCGGAGGAGGTCAAATCGGCGGTCGGAAATGCACTAGGGGCCAAGGCAGTGGTACGGGCCCTTACCGAACAAACAAGGCTCGAGTTAATGGATCTAGATGAGATAACAACGAAGGCAGAGATATTGGAAGCACTAAAGCGTGCCACAGGGGTAACCGAAATCCCCGAGGACGCGGTAAGGTCCTTAAAAGCCACCAGAAGCGGGATGCAGATAGCCACCCCACAAACTCGCTGCAATGGGGAAGATAGGGGTCGGCTGGGTGAACTGCCGTATCAAGCAAATAATGTCGCCAAAACGATGCTACAAGTGTTTGGAGTTCGGGCACATCTCGGTAAACTGCACCGGAGAAAAGGACCACAGAGGAGCGTGCTTTAGATGTGGAGGCAGAGCCATGAGGCCAGAAATTGCAGCAAGGACCCACACTGCATACTCTGCGCACAAAAAACGGGTAGCCCCACGGACCATGCCTCGGGAAGTTTTAAGTGCCCAGCGTACCGCGAGGCAGTTAGAAAACTCAAATGTTAAGGATCATCCAACTGAACCTTAACCATTGCAGGGTGGCCCAAGACCTTCTCACCCAATCCGTTACAGAGCTCAACACGGACCTGGCACTGCTGAGCGAGCCCTACAAGACCGTGAGATCCAACACGTGGGTCATGGATCAATCGGGGAAAGCGGCAATCTGGATGTGCGGCCAACCAGCACAGCACCTGGACCGAGTTAAAAGATCCAAAGGATACGTACGAGGGAGGCTGAAAGACCTATGGGTATACAGCTGTTACCTACTGGTCACTCGAAGAGTTCAGCGACACAATCGACAAATTGGCAGATGACATCAGAGCACACTCGCCGTCGCTAGTAGCTGGGGACTTCAACGCCTGGGCAACGGAATGGGAGTCAGCAACAACGAATGCCAGGGGCCGTGTCTTAGTGGAGGCTTTTGCCTCCCTGGACATAGTACTAAAAAACGCTGGTTCCAACCCAACTTTCAGCAGAGCAGGTACCACATCCATCATAGACCTCACCTACATAAGTACTCGACTAGCAGCGAGCACGTTATGGCAGATCAGCGAGCAGTACACCGCGAGCGACCACAACGCTATCCTCTGCAGCATCCAGACCAGAAGAGCCACCCAGAGTATCGCTACGAGGGGGCACTACAAAGAAACCACGCTGAACACACCAGCCTTCAGGGCAGCCCTAGCAGGACTAGCCGAGGTGGAAGGCGAAGACGATCTAGTGGCACAAGTCATGGGACAACTCGAAAGGGCGTGCAAAGCTAGCATGGAGCGCAGCAAACCATTTAAAGGTCATAGGCCGGTATACTGGTGGAACCAGGAAATCGAGGAGGCCCGCCACGCATGCATAGGCGCCAGAAGAGCATACCACAGATCCCGCGGAACAGCAGACTTCCAGGCTCTCAAGGAAATCTACACCCGAAGAAGGAAGGCACTGAAGAAGGAAATCAAAAATAGTAAACAACGATGCTTCTTAGATCTCTGTGACGAAGCCGAAAACGATCTCTGGGGAAAGGCCTACAAGGTGGTCATGAAGAAGACCGGCGCATTCAAGCACGCGGCACCAACAGGAGCGGATAATATGGAGGCAATCGTCAAGCACCTATTCCCAGCGCAGGACACGCAGATAGACAGGATCACGAGTACGGGACACCAAGTACCCCCAGTGACCCCGCAAGAGTTGGCAAAACTAGTAAAGAGAGTGCCAAACTGCAAGGCACCAGGACCAGACGGCATCCCAAATTGGGCCCTCAAGCTGGCTATTAGCCTGCACCCGATGATCTTTGCGCAGACCTATACCAAATGCCTCACAGACGGATGCTTTCCTGGAAGATGGAAGAAGCAAAAGCTGGTGCCGATACCAAAACCTGGGAAAGACACGGAGGACCCATCGGCATACAGGCCTATCTACCTACTGGACGGCGCAGGTAAGATGCTGGAAAGCATAATCAGCGCAAGGTTAACGGAGGCTATCGAGGCCGCTGGTGGACTCTCCGACAGCCAGTACGGCTTTAGGAAGGCTCGCTCTACCTTGGATGCGCTAGACAAGGTGTGCGGCACTGCCAGAAAGGCCTTGAAAGGCACACGATGGCTCGGCGGGGCCAAAAAATACTGTCTGGTGGCAACACTGGACGTGAAAAACGCCTTTAACTCGGCATCCTGGAGCAGGATAATGTCCTCCCTGCGCACACTCGAAATCCCCGGATATCTACAGGCGATGGTCAGCGACTACCTGGACAACAGATGGCTGACGTACGACACGGAAGATGGCCCTCGATCATACTCCATCACGGGAGGAGTCCCACAAGGATCTGTACTGAGACCTTTACTGTGGAATACCATGTACGATGGAATTCTTCGCCTCAACTTCCAGCAAGGAGTCGAAATAGTGGGATTCGCTGACGATGTCGCGGTGACGGTCACGAAGAAAACCCTCGCGGAGACCGAGAGCTGTATGAACGAGGCAATCGGAATCATAAGCGACTGGCTAGACCTGGCAGGGCTCAAGCTAGCCGAGCACAAGACGGAAGCGGTTCTCATCAGTAGCAGGAAACAGGTAGAGACGGCGAGGATAAACGTAGGAGGAGCCTCAATTACCTCAAAACGAGCAATAAGGTACCTGGGAGTTATGCTGGACACCAGACTGTCGTTTAGAGAGCACCTGCAGCAGACACACCAGAAGGCACACGGCGTAGTCATGGCGGTTTCACGTATGATGCTGAACCACAGAGGCCCAAAGTCAACGAGTAGGAGACTGCTATTTAACGTGGCCAAGTCATCCATACTATACGCAGCGCCAATATGGGCCCAGGCCACGAGGACCAAGAGCTACACTAAGGGCATAGAGTCGGACTTCAGACTCGGAGCCCTGCGGGTCAGCTCGGCGTTCCGTAATGTCTCCACAGAGGCAATAATGGTAATAAGCGGCATACCACCCGTAGAGCTCGCAGCGAAGGAAGCCAGCGAAATCCACAAGGGAAGAAAGGCCGCCAACACACAGGCAGACGCTAGAACGGCTAAGACCATGGCGAGGGCTGAATGTCTCGAGAGCTGGCAACTCAGATGGGATAATGCTGTAACCGGCCGCTGGACCCACCGTCTAATCCCCAACATTGCAGCATGGATGAATCGGCGGCATGAAGAACTTACGTTCTCGCTGACACAAGTTCTCAGCGGCCACGGGTGCTTTAAAGAGTACCTTCACCGCTTTGGCCACGAAGAAGATGGTCTGTGCAGCTGCTGCGGAACAGTAGAAAACGCTGAGCATGTCCTGACCGCATGCGCCAGATTCTCAGAGGCCCGCAGGCGAGCAGAAGGCACCATAGGAGTGCCCATTACGGTGGAAGGTTTGGTACCAAGGATGCTGGAAAACCAAGCAAATTGGACGGCGATATGCAGGCTTGCAACAGAAATCGCTTTGGAACTGAGGCGGCTTGAACGCACACGAAATGAGCGGCCGTAATAGGCTAGCCGGCCTTGTGAAGCAATGCTTCACGGCAGTCCCGCAAGTCTGGTCCATATATATGTATACGCTATATATTTTTATTCTAATTTTTATATTCTTATATTTTATATATATATATCCTATTTTTAAAATGAAAAAAAAAAAAAAAAAAAAAAGGCCATACCAATCACGGCATCGCTATTGAGTTCGCCCCAGGCCTTGTGGGATTGCGGATACTCCAATTTGTTGACATTACGTGAGTGATTCGTGCCGCGCTCGGCCACAGCAATCGGGGCATAGTGCTCCCTGTCCCTGTTGTAGTTGCCAATGATGCTCTCGTTTCGCAAATCATCTGCAAGAAGATACATGTAGAGAAAAGGAGATACGTAGATCTTAATGAAACCTACAGAATGCCGCTGAGAAGAACTCGAACTCCGTGATGCCCGTGATCAGGGGAACTTTGTAGAAATTGCCCCTAAGGGCGGTCTTAAAAGGATCCTCTACCAGAAAACGCTCTTGACCAAAGTCCTCTTCGATGACCACATGCCAGTTAAGCACGGGACTCCATCCCACCTCAAACATGCCATTGTACGAGCTCACATAGTCCAGGGCGGGCTTCTGCCTCAGGCAATCAACCAGATCCTTTGCAGGCTCCTCTGGACACTTCAGTAGCCTGGCCTGCCGCTGGGCCAACTGTAATTCCGAACTCTGATACTTGGACTGGCCATAGGGCGAGGCACTAATGCAAATCCCGCGGTGGAAGAGACCCCGCGACATGGGCGACAGCATGTGGAGGCCTATGCTGAGACTTCCCGTACTGTAGCCCAGCAGGGTCACCTGCTGGGGATCGCCACCGAAGCGATGGATGTGCTGCTGGATCCAGCGCAGGGCCAGCACCTGATCCTTGAGCCCGGCATTGCCCGGCGCCTCGGCTGTGCCGGTGGCCAGGAATCCAAGGCTTCCCAGGCGATAATTGAGCGCCACCAGAACGCAATCTCTGTCCATGAAGGGCTCCGGCCCAGCCAGATACTTGCTCTGGCCAGAGAACACATAGAAGCCGCCGTGATGTAAGAACACAATCACTGGCCGGCGACCCTGGACATCCTTTGTGTAGACGTTGAGCCGCAGACAGTCCTCGGAGACATCTGTAAGATTTTCCCACGGCTGGGGACACATCGGTCCATCTTCGGTGGCATCGAAGACAGTGGGCGACCAAGGCTTCACTGGCTTGGGGTTCAGGAAACGCAAATTAGCCAACGGCGGCTCGGCATAGCGTATGCCCCGAAAGGCATAGAAGGGTAAGCCCAATCTGGAGGTGAGATTAGCTCCCCGCACGCGTCCCAGGTCGGTCTGCACCTCGAGGGACAGCACGGATGATGACCCGATGGCCAGGAGAACCACCAATATCTTGTTCATCTTGCTGCTGTTCGATTCCAACTGAAAGTTTCCCATTTCAGTTGGGGTTTTTTATACAAAAAGTCTCGTTGGGAATGGCTTTTAGGGATTTACCCAGCGACGATTAAAGCCTATAAAATGAGAATGCAGGGCAGATATATGTATTTAGTTATATTTAAATATATTTACACCCAGAAAAAAAAGCCCAAGGAATCGGATAGAGATCTAATAAATTTTTTCAAGGAGGGAGGACATGGTAAAAAGAAAACACTTTCTTTCACAAACATTTTACCATTAACTTAAAAATACTTGATTTACGATAAATATATTTCAAATTTAAATTCAATATTTCCCTAGTTAAATTAAATACTTTATAATATATATATAATAATATATTTCCTATAAATTTAATATATTATATTTATTTTAAAGTGTTCTATATATATTTTAATTATGGGCCATCATAATTGATTTCTATTTAATTTATTAAATTTATTACATTTTCAAAATTAAATATTTTTATATATAAATCTAACATATTTCCTATAAATTTAATATATAGTATTTATTTTAAAGTGTTTTATATATTTCAATTAATTATAGGCTATCATAATTAATTTCTATTTAGTTTATTAAATTTATAAAATTTTCATAATTAAATATTTTCATATATAAATCTAATATATTTCCTATAAATGTAATATATTAAATTTATTTTAAAGTGTTTTATATATTTAAATTAATTATGGGCCATCATAATTGACTTCTATTTAATTTATTACATTTTTTTAATTAAATATTTTAATATATAAATTTAATATATTTCCTATAAATGTAATATATTGTATTTATTTTAAAGTGTTTTATTAGATTTCAATTAATTATGGGCCGTCTTAGTTGACTCTTATTTAATTTTCCTATGTTTTTATTTAAAAAGCGATTATTTAATATTTATATGGGTGTGCTTCATATTATTAGCCATTTTTCTCTGAGTGTATATGTAAAGGCAGACGTTGCTCTTCGGCTGAATAGTCACGTATGATGTGAGATCAATGGAGTGAGAACAAAACGAGGGGGAACGTTGTGAGTTGCTGCGGACACCGCAACTCTACAGTTATACCCGATACTAAGTCAGTATGGATCTCCTCCGGCAGACGCCGCTAATATTAAACGACACGACAAAGAATGCGTGCGAGAGAGACAGAAAATCAGTCTGAGCGTGACGTCGGGCGCTGCAATGCAAATTGATTTGTTCCTTTTGGCTATAAAAATTATCCGATCTGATCAAAATTCAGCAACTGGATAGATATGGTCATTCTCTATGATTCTGCGTTTTTAGTTTTCTCGAATCTGCAATATTGTGGATGCAACAGATTTTCGTCCTTTGTGGGGGCGGATGGGGGTGGGGCGAAATTCTGAGATATACGTTTTATCTTAACATCTTAAAGGAGTGTGTGTACCAAATTTGGTTACTCTAGCCTTAATAGTCTCTGAGATTTGTGGTTGCCGCAGATTTTCGTCCTTTGCGGGGGCGGAAGGGGGTGTGGCGAAATTTGTACACGAAACGGTCAAGGTCCGATATCACAGGAGTGTGGATACCAAATTTGGTTGCTCTGGCTCTTATAGGTTCTGAGATCCTTGAACTCATATTTTGCAATTGGCAAAACCGACCATGAAACCTGTGTGTTAGAGTGAGACAGAGCGAGAAAGAGTGAAATTGTTTTCGTGATTCTGGCTGTAATAATTATACGATCTGGTTCAGATTTGCACTCTAGAAGATATAGTCATCTTTTACGATTCTGCGTTTTTAGTTTTCTCGTATCGTCGAAATTGTGGATGCCACAGATTTTCGCCCTTTGTGGGGGCGGAAGTGGGCGGGGCAAAGTTTTGAAATATTTTTGTAGCAGTGACATAGTACAGACATAGGACATAGGACAGACAGACATGGCTCAATCGACTCGGCTATTGATGCTGATCAAGAATATATATACTTTATGGGGTCGGAAACGATTTCTTCTGGACGTTATACACATACACTTTTACCACAAATCTAATATACCCCAATACTCATTTTGAGTATCGGGTATAAAAAATATCAACTAAAGCAAACTGTGATTCAAATTGAAGGCAACTTGCTGTGCATCTAGTTCATGATAAACTCCATTTAAATGGCGCTTTAAACTGAATCGGAAGATAAAATATTCAGCACTACAGCTAGAGTTTTCTTGAGTTCTAAGTATGTGCTCCTAATTATCAATTTGTGGTGGCCTATATAAAGACTATATAATGAAATTTTCCAAAACCTGTTCATAGTACTTAATTGTTGTAATTCTTAGTATATAAGAATGTGCTCTTAATTATCAATTTGTCGGATGATTAGCATATCTGAAGATTACATAAGTATTGGAATTTTCCAAAACCTGTAACTAGTACTTACTTGTTGTAATTCTTAGTACATATATACCTTTTTATTTATTCTACAAATAAGCTTCCTTCTGAGGTTCTGTTGAAGGCTCTTTTGGAGCTTCTGCTGCTGCCACAAGAACAATTACTTCATGGGCGAGGAGCCGGCATTAAAGCCGCCAACATTTCCGCGACGGACGTTGATTTTCCAGCAGCATGGCCCTGGCCCAAAACAGTTTCAATAAGTTGTGCTAAAACTTTTACACGCCTTTTGGCCCGTCCAAGGAGCGGTGGAAGCCGGGGCCGGCTGCTGCCACGGCAAAGAAAATAAAAGCATTCGGCCGAGGGGCGTTCTGTGGGTGGGAGGCGTGGGTGTGGCTGTGGGTGTAGGTGGGAGGCGTGGCACTCAGTTGGCTGCTGTTAAAAATTTGAACGCGCTGATGGGCATTTTTACAACTGAAGCGTTAACTATGTGCAACTTGCAGCATCGCACAGAAAGCGAGAGAGATGGAACAGAAAAAGAAAGAAAAGAGAGAGAGAGAGAGAGAGAAGGCAGAGGCTGTGGCATTTTTTCGATAGAAGTTCACAATATTTTCCCATTTTAGTTTACAAGTTTCCCGGCCCGCGGGCTCCAAAGCGGGACACAACCGCACGCTTTTGCCCCGCAAAAAATCAAATGAAATTTTCATAAGCTCTTCAAGAGCGCACCAAAAGTAAATGGTAACAAGAACTAACATCTATACACAGATATACTCTTAACGGATTCGAGCAGAACCAATAAATTCAGGGAAAATTCATACACAAGTTCTTAGCACCTTTATTGAGTCTAATATTCGTTTCTAAGCGGCCTACAAATGTTCTCTTTGAATCGAAATAATATTTAAAATAACATGAAAATTTCTAGAGCAGTGATACACAAAAAATTGAGCCTCTAATGGAATCTACACTGGGACGGACAGTTCTACACTCTAATTTTGTTTGGCCTTTGGCTTCTTTGACCTGGCTTCTGCCCTTCCGGCACAGCACTCCTGCAGGGAGCGCAGCAAGAAACGAATCAGCGCAAACAGACAGTAGAAAACGAAGATGATGCCGCCGTACAGGATTACGATGGCGTCCAGACTGTGGTACTGAATGAAGTTCAGATCCTGGGAGGCACTCCGCAGGTACTTGGCGCCCTTGTGGCGGGTCACGTGCTCCACCCAGAAGATGGCCCGCTCCAGAGGCGTCTGCTGCTGATCCCGATAGCGATCGGACATGTCCTGCACCTTCTTGGAGGCCTCTGGATCCTTGATGAGCCGCTCAATGGCTGCCAGCAGCTTGGGAGCTGTCAGCTCTTCATAGTTCACTGTGACACCATAGCCATTCTGCTCGGCTCGGGCCATATTGAGGAACTGATCCCCGAAGATGGGGATGCCGACGAAGGGCTTGCGATGGTAGATCGACTCCGTGGTGCTCAGCAGGCCACCGTGGGTGATGAAGGCGATCACATTTTCGTGGGCCAGAATGTCGTCCTGCGGGAACCAGTCCGAGATGAAGACATTCTTGGGCTTGCCGGGAAGCTCCGTGTCCTCGAACTTCCACAGAACCCGCTGCTTCAGTTGGGAAAAGGTGTCCAACAGGGCCTGACGCTTCTCCAGGGGCAGATCTTTGCTCTTCAGGTTGGAGCCCATCGAGAAGTAGATCACTCCGTGCTTGGCTCCCTCGATGAACTCCTCAATGTCCTTGGGCAGGGGCTGGCGTTTGCGGTTGATGTGCATGCCTCCCACCTCGATCATGTTGGGCGAGTAGGGACGGGGGAAGCTGAGAGAAACGTGCTGATTCAAGAGTACCAAAGCCGTGTTCTTTCGCATCTCGTAAAAGTCCTGCTTGTTGTTGGGGAAGTGCTTCTTGTAGATGGCTTCCTGATGCGGCAGGTAGTAGAAGTTCAGGAAAAGATACTCGTACGACACGAAGGCCAGATTGGCCACGCGCTCGACCAGCGACATGTGATCGGAGAACTTGAGCAGTGCATGGGGCACATACGAAGGCGGTGAGGGGGTTCCAACCTACAAAATGAACAGTGGGATAAGAAGAGACTTCTTTGCCTTGAACTGCATGTCTTACCAGATCTGTGTTCCAGCTGATGGCCCCGAAGGTGCCCAATCCTATCAGCGGGGCATTGAAGTGCTCCGCCAGTCCAAAGTGGGCCTCGTTGAGGAAGACCTCAGAGATGACAGCGTCGTAGGTCTGATTCGAGTTGATCAGTTCGACCACAACAGGATCGCTTAGCAAAAACTCGGTTATGTTCAGGCCCATGTGATGGAAGTTGATAATTTGCTTAATAATCGGTTGCTTAGAGCTGGTCAATAGGTTGGCTATGTTGCCTGGAAATGGTGTAAGAAAAGCCAAGTGCTGATAAGATTGTGTAATACGATAGGCCAGAGGCCCAGAATGCATTTCTATGATATGGCGAGTACAAAGTACCCTCTACTTGGGTGTTACAAAATTGAGAAGTAATACCACTGCTATGATCCATGATTTGTCTTCTAGCAAACCCAAAAAACTCACCCTGCATGGCGGCCAGAATACTGGGCACAGGCACATCCCTGATGTTCTTGATGGGTTTCTTCAGTTCAAAGGGCGAGACAATGGTCACCTGATGGCCTGCTGCGGCCAGACCTTTGGCCAGGGCCGATCCCACGTGGTAGTGGGAGCGGGCTGCCGTGTGGAGTACCACCAGATAATTGTAGGCCGAGACGCAGCTCAGAAGACAGTGCAACAGCAGAGCCGCGAAACTTGTTTTATAACTCAATGACTTCATGGCTGTTCAGGGTGTTCCGAATGTTGGAATTATACACGAATAACTGGGGGCCTAATCGCTGCCAGTTGTGAAATAGAATGTTTGTATGTGGCTTGTTGTAGTTCCAGCTGATGTTCTATCGATATTCCCGCGTTGGCGCCCCGAAATAAACTGAGGAAATTCTCGCCGGCAGTGGTGTTATTATAGGCAGGCCGCCGTCTGTCTGGCTTTTGAGTGCCTCGGGCTCAATGGCTGGTGTATCACCCTACCATGGTGTGTTCCCACATCATCGTTACTCAGCCCAAAATCAATCCGAGTTGTATATACGGAGACGCGTTGCGTCTGTCGATACGATTGCGTGCCTGATTGTAGGCCACTCTCTTGCCTCTCTTGTTCCCACACTCACTCGCTCTATTCTCGTCTATCGCGTTCGTCTAGTACTTCGCTCTTAAACTGTTCTCTGTTTGGTTTTGTTCTCTCTTTCTTTCCTCAATGGGTTTTCGTTGGTTTCGTGTTTTGTTTTGATTACCTTACCGGCTTTGTGGAGACATAGAAGAATGTTTTTTGTCGATCAGATAAGATTTCTTCTACCTGGCTGAAGTACACAATTTAAATGAAAAAAGAAGGAGAAAATGATATGAGAACTCAAATATAACAGCTGAATTCGCTTGGGGCATTGAATTTATAAAGGTTATGGGTTATCTCATAATTAAGTAATAGGGATCTCCTAATTTTCGGTGTATTCCTTGTCCTATAATAATTTTAACCTTAGAAAGGCATCTGCTTGTGAAAATCAAAGGACTTTTTTGTACATATTTTCATTTACATATATAGTCTTTGGATTATTTTATTTTAGCATCGCCGATATATACACCCGATATTATACCCGATACACAATCAGTATTTGTTATTTAATGTTTTATTTGCGTCGGGACTGGTATTGGAGGCAGAGACTACCGCATGCTCTCTCTCTCTCTGTCTTTTGTTTTCGCAATCTCTCTCAATTTGGTAAATTTTGCTCACTTTTGTCATGAGAGTTGGCATCTTTCTGACCTCCGCTCACGGGTAACAGCGTGGGAGAGGTAAGAGAGGGAGCTACAGCAACTCGATTTGTTTCTTCTGGCTATAATAATGATCCGATCTGATCCATGTTCGGCAGAATGGTAGATATGATCACTCTCCATGATTCTGCGTGTGATATCACAGGAGTCTGGATACAACATTTGGTTTCTGCAACTGTTATTTAGGAGATCATCGACTCGCATCGGCTAAGACTGCTGATCAAGAAGAAATATATACTTTATGGGGTCGACGTTTCCTTGTGAGTGGATCCACAACAGAACTCTTTAAATATCGGGTATAATCATGTGTCATAAACATTTAAAGGTATCCTGGACATGTACACATTTATTTCTTAACATAGATTTAATCAAAATTCAAAAATTAACTCTAATTAAGTTTCGCCTTGGGCTTTGCCTTGTCATTTGCTCTTTCAATAAATAACTCCTGCAGCAGACGCCACACGCGACGAATCAGCAAAAACAGACAGTACAGAACAAATATAATGCCTCCGTATAGGATCAGGATGGCGTCCAGATTATGATACTGAATGAAACCCAAGTCCTGGGAGGCGCTTCTCAAGTACTTGGCGCCCTTGTGTCGGGTCACGTGCTCCACCCAGAACACTGCCCGCTCTAGCGGTGTCTCCGGCTGATCGCGATAGCGATCGGACATGTCCTGAACCTTCTTGGTGGCCTCTGGATCTCCAATGAGCCGCTCAATGGCTGCCAGCAATTTGGGAGCTGTCAGCTCTACGTAGTTCACTGTGACACCATAGCCATTCTGCTCGGCACGGGCCATATTGAGGAACTGATCCCCGAAGATGGGGATGCCGACGAAGGGCTTGCGATGGTAGATCGACTCCGTGGTGCTCAGCAGGCCACCGTGGGTGATGAAGGCAATCACATTTTCGTGGGCCAGAATGTCGTCCTGCGGGAACCAGTCCGAGATGAAGACATTCTTGGGCTTGCCGGGAAGCTCCGTGTCCTCGAACTTCCACAGAACCCGCTGCTTCAGTTGGGAAAAGGTGTCCAACAGGGCCTGACGCTTCTCCAGGGGCAGATCTTTGCTCTTCAGGTTGGAGCCCATCGAGAAGTAGATCACTCCGTGCTTGGCTCCCTCGATGAACTCCTCAATGTCCTTGGGCAGGGGCTGGCGTTTGCGGTTGATGTGCATGCCTCCCACCTCGATCATGTTGGGCGAGTAGGGACGGGGGAAGCTGAGAGAAACGTGCTGATTCAAGAGTACCAAAGCCGTGTTCTTTCGCATCTCGTAAAAGTCCTGCTTGTTGTTGGGGAAGTGCTTCTTGTAGATGGCTTCCTGATGCGGCAGGTAGTAGAAGTTCAGGAAAAGATACTCGTACGACACGAAGGCCAGATTGGCCACGCGCTCGACCAGCGACATGTGATCGGAGAACTTGAGCAGTGCATGGGGCACATACGAAGGCGGTGAGGGGGTTCCAACCTACAAAATGAACAGTGGGATAAGAAGAGACTTCTTTGCCTTGAACTGCATGTCTTACCAGATCTGTGTTCCAGCTGATGGCCCCGAAGGTGCCCAATCCTATCAGCGGGGCATTGAAGTGCTCCGCCAGTCCAAAGTGGGCCTCGTTGAGGAAGACCTCAGAGATGACAGCGTCGTAGGTCTGATTCGAGTTGATCAGTTCGACCACAACAGGATCGCTTAGCAAAAACTCGGTTATGTTCAGGCCCATGTGATGGAAGTTGATAATTTGCTTAATAATCGGTTGCTTAGAGCTGGTCAATAGGTTGGCTATGTTGCCTGGAAATGGTGTAAGAAAAGCCAAGTGCTGATAAGATTGTGTAATACGATAGGCCAGAGGCCCAGAATGCATTTCTATGATATGGCGAGTACAAAGTACCCTCTACTTGGGTGTTACAAAATTGAGAAGTAATACCACTGCTATGATCCATGATTTGTCTTCTAGCAAACCCAAAAAACTCACCCTGCATGGCGGCCAGAATACTGGGCACAGGCACATCCCTGATGTTCTTGATGGGTTTCTTCAGTTCAAAGGGCGAGACAATGGTCACCTGATGGCCTGCTGCGGCCAGACCTTTGGCCAGGGCCGATCCCACGTGGTAGTGGGAGCGGGCTGCCGTGTGGAGTACCACCAGATAATTGTAGGCCGAGACGCAGCTCAGAAGACAGTGCAACAGCAGAGCCGCGAAACTTGTTTTATAACTCAATGACTTCATGGCTGTTCAGGGTGTTCCGAATGTTGGAATTATACACGAATAACTGGGGGCCTAATCGCTGCCAGTTGTGAAATAGAATGTTTGTATGTGGCTTGTTGTAGTTCCAGCTGATGTTCTATCGATATTCCCGCGTTGGCGCCCCGAAATAAACTGAGGAAATTCTCGCCGGCAGTGGTGTTATTATAGGCAGGCCGCCGTCTGTCTGGCTTTTGAGTGCCTCGGGCTCAATGGCTGGTGTATCACCCTACCATGGTGTGTTCCCACATCATCGTTACTCAGCCCAAAATCAATCCGAGTTGTATATACGGAGACGCGTTGCGTCTGTCGATACGATTGCGTGCCTGATTGTAGGCCACTCTCTTGCCTCTCTTGTTCCCACACTCACTCGCTCTATTCTCGTCTATCGCGTTCGTCTAGTACTTCGCTCTTAAACTGTTCTCTGTTTGGTTTTGTTCTCTCTTTCTTTCCTCAATGGGTTTTCGTTGGTTTCGTGTTTTGTTTTGATTACCTTACCGGCTTTGTGGAGACATAGAAGAATGTTTTTTGTCGATCAGATAAGATTTCTTCTACCTGGCTGAAGTACACAATTTAAATGAAAAAAGAAGGAGAAAATGATATGAGAACTCAAATATAACAGCTGAATTCGCTTGGGGCATTGAATTTATAAAGGTTATGGGTTATCTCATAATTAAGTAATAGGGATCTCCTAATTTTCGGTGTATTCCTTGTCCTATAATAATTTTAACCTTAGAAAGGCATCTGCTTGTGAAAATCAAAGGACTTTTTTGTACATATTTTCATTTACATATATAGTCTTTGGATTATTTTATTTTAGCATCGCCGATATATACACCCGATATTATACCCGATACACAATCAGTATTTGTTATTTAATGTTTTATTTGCGTCGGGACTGGTATTGGAGGCAGAGACTACCGCATGCTCTCTCTCTCTCTGTCTTTTGTTTTCGCAATCTCTCTCAATTTGGTAAATTTTGCTCACTTTTGTCATGAGAGTTGGCATCTTTCTGACCTCCGCTCACGGGTAACAGCGTGGGAGAGGTAAGAGAGGGAGCTACAGCAACTCGATTTGTTTCTTCTGGCTATAATAATGATCCGATCTGATCCATGTTCGGCAGAATGGTAGATATGATCACTCTCCATGATTCTGCGTGTGATATCACAGGAGTCTGGATACAACATTTGGTTTCTGCAACTGTTATTTAGGAGATCATCGACTCGCATCGGCTAAGACTGCTGATCAAGAAGAAATATATACTTTATGGGGTCGACGTTTCCTTGTGAGTGGATCCACAACAGAACTCTTTAAATATCGGGTATAATCATGTGTCATAAACATTTAAAGGTATCCTGGACATGTACACATTTATTTCTTAACATAGATTTAATCAAAATTCAAAAATTAACTCTAATTAAGTTTCGCCTTGGGCTTTGCCTTGTCATTTGCTCTTTCAATAAATAACTCCTGCAGCAGACGCCACACGCGACGAATCAGCAAAAACAGACAGTACAGAACAAATATAATGCCTCCGTATAGGATCAGGATGGCGTCCAGATTATGATACTGAATGAAACCCAAGTCCTGGGAGGCGCTTCTCAAGTACTTGGCGCCCTTGTGTCGGGTCACGTGCTCCACCCAGAACACTGCCCGCTCTAGCGGTGTCTCCGGCTGATCGCGATAGCGATCGGACATGTCCTGAACCTTCTTGGTGGCCTCTGGATCTCCAATGAGCCGCTCAATGGCTGCCAGCAATTTGGGAGCTGTCAGCTCTACGTAGTTCACTGTGACACCATAGCCATTCTGCTCGGCACGGGCCATATTGAGGAACTGATCCCCGAAGATGGGGATGCCGACGAAGGGCTTGCGATGGTAGATCGACTCCGTGGTGCTCAGCAGGCCACCGTGGGTGATGAAGGCAATCACATTTTCGTGGGCCAGAATGTCGTCCTGCGGGAACCAGTCCGAGATGAAGACATTCTTGGGCTTGCCGGGCAGCTCGGTATCCTCGAACTTCCACAGGACCCGCTGTTTCAGTTGGGAAAAGGTGTCCAACAGGGCCTGACGCTTCTCCAGAGGCAGGGTCTTACTCTTCAGGTTGGAGCCCATCGAGAAGTAGATCACTCCATGCTTGGCTCCCTCGATGAACTCCCCAATGTCCTTGGGCAGGGGCTGGCGCTTGCGGTTGATGTGCATGCCTCCCACTTCGATCATGTTGGGCGAGTAGGGTCGGGGGAAGCTGAGAGAAACGTGCTGGTTAAGAAGCACCAGAGCTGTGTTCTTCCGCGTCTCGTACAGGTCCTGCTTGTTGTTGGGGAAGTACTTTCGGTAGATGGCTTCCTGAAGGGGCAGGTAGTAGTAGTTTATAAAGAGATACTCGTACGAGACAAAGGCCAGGTTTTTAATGCGCTGAAACAGCGTCATTCGATCGGATAACTTGAGCATAGCATGCGGCACATAAGAAGGCGGTGAGGGGGTTCCAACCTAAGGGAGAACACAAATCGTAATGAAGGTCTCAGTGGTGGATTTCTTGGTAAACTCTTACCAGATCTGTGTTCCAGCTGATGGCCCCGAAGGTGCCCAATCCTATCAGCGGGGCATTGAAGTGCTCCGCCAGTCCAAAGTGTGCCTCGTTGAGGAAGACCTCAGAGATGACAGCGTCGTAGGTCTGATTCGATTGCATCAGCTCCACCACGATAGGATCTCTCAGCATGGATTCGGTTATGGCCAGGCCCATATGATGGAAATCAATGATACGTGTGACGATCGGCTCTTGCGATTTCTCCAAAAGCTTACCAATATGGCCTGCCAATAGGCGAGAAATAGAATCATATTGATTAGATTATATTTAAGCCAACTGAAAGATAATGTGAACGAAGTGCACTGCGTTTTGTAAGACTGTTCGACGTACCTTTCATGGCATTCAAAATACTGGGCACAGGCACATCCCTGATATTCTTGATGGGTTTCTTCAGCTCAAAGGGCGAGACAATGGTCACTTGATGGCCTGCTGCGGCCAGACCTTTGGCCAGGGCCGATCCCACGTGGTAGTGGGATCGGGCTGCCGTGTGGAGCACCACCAGATAATTGTAGGCCGTGACGCAGCTCAGAAGACAGAGCAGCAGCAGAGCGGCGAAACTTGTTTTGCGGCTAAGTGGCTTCATGACTGATAGAAAAACACGCAATTAATTCGCTTTAATTATTGTATTTTTATGTATTAATTCTTTAGTCCATAGAAATCACTGCTAAGGCTTTGGCGAATCGAAACAAACTGAGAAAATTCTCGCCGGCTGTGGGGTAATTATAAGCAGCTGCAAGTTGGGTCGACTAGTGGATCATGCTTCGATGATAAGGCGGTGTTTCGGCTCTCTCTTTGCAGTTCTCAGACTCTCCATAGTTTCCTCTCTTTTGTAGGCGCTCACCCAGTCATTCGATTTCTTTGGGTATTGACATAATATTTGTATGCAATTCACGCTCTTATGTATTCTTATATTTATGGCCAGTGCCTTGGTTGCCTTCCTCCAGTCAGTCTCTTCCATTATTAGCTATATTTTGAGAGAGAATCATTATTTTTCGAGAGGTTTCAATCAGTATTTCTTCAGATTTTTGCTGCGTAATGAAATTGTCAATAAAATTTCATTAGTAATAGAGCCTTGACCTTGACCTTCGCTGAGAATCGCTGAGTAAAGAATTTGGGGACTTTCATATAAATATTTTATTTAAGAAGGTTTCTAAGTATTCCAAATGTTTCTTAGAGGAATATTATGGTTAAGGAACCAAATTACTTATAAAATATGTCTCTATTTGTAGCACTGACGTACACCTACGGTGTATACAAAGGCCAACTATTTTAGGTTCCAATCTATCTCTATCCTTCGTCTTCCGATCTTCTTTTCTAGATTGAGCCGTACCCTAGATCTCTGTCTGAAACCAAATGGTTATCAGCCCAAGAGAGTGCCTAAATCCTACCTAAAACCTACCGACTAGTTAGCTTTCTCTTTCTTCGAGCTCCCCCTAAGTTTAACCAACACAAATCGTACCAGAACCCATAACAATACGATAACCAAGCTCAAACCCCCAAAGAATGTGGCCAAAACATCTATATTGTGATATTCCACGAGGCTCAGATCCTGGCAGGCACTTCTCAAGTACCTGGCGCCCTTCTGACGGGTAACATGCTCCACCCAATAGACGGCCCGGTCCAGGGGGGCCGCCAACTGATCTCGAAAGCGGTTGGACATTTCGCGAGCCTTTTCCGCGTAGCTGGCGTCACTGGTGATCCGTTCGACGGCTGATCGGAGGAGCGGAGCCTCGAGTTGGTGGTACTTGACGGTGATACCAAAGCCAGCTATCTCGGCATTGGCCATGTTCATGAACTGATCGCCAAAGAAGGGTATTCCCACCACCGGTTTGCCGTGGTAGATGGATTCCGTGGTGCTGAGCAGTCCGCCGTGGGTGATGAAGGCAATCACCTTGTCGTGGGCCAGGATATCATCCTGGGGGAACCAGCTTGAGATGAACACATTCTCGGGCTTGTCGGGAAAGTTTTCATCCTCGAATTTCCAAAGGATGCGCTGCTTGAGGCCACGCAGGGTCTCCACAATCGCTCGCCGCTTCTCCAGGGGCAGATCTTGGCTGTTGAGATTGGAACCCAACGAAAAAAAGATCACTCCGTGCCTGGCTCCCTCGATGAACTCCTCAATGTCCTTGGGCAGGGGCTGCCTGGCCTGCCGATTGATGTGCATGCCTCCCACTTCAATCATGTTCGGGGCATAAGGACGCGGTGCACTCATGGACACATGATTGTTCAACAGAACCAACGATGTACTCCTTCGCATCTCATAAAAATCCTGTGTATTGTTCGCAAAATACTTCCTGTAGAGGGCCTCCTGTCGTGGCAGATTGAACCAACGCTGGTAGAAATATTCAAAGACCTGGAAGCCCAGGTTCTGGGCTCTCTGCGTGAAGTCCATGCGGTCACTGAATTGCAGCAGATTATGTGGTACATAGGAGGGCGGCGAGGGCGTGCCCACCAGGTCCGATGTCCAGCCGGTGGCTCCCAGGGTGCTCAGGACTATTAGCGGTGCCCCAAAGTGCTCGGCAAAGCCATAATGGGCGTCGTTCATGAAGGCCTCAACGATAACCCCATCGAAGGTGCGCTGCTCCTTCAGCAGCTGCTGCACTGCGGGCGCCGCAAGTAGGGCTTCGGTTAGGTCCAGACCCATGCCATGGATACGAGGATACCGATGGAGCACAGGCAATTTGGCATTCTCTAGTATTCGAGCCTTGTGATCTGCGGGAAAGGTCAGAGAGGGGGGTTTATTGTGCATTGTAATGGGTCTATCTGTGCACGTTTCTGCGATAATTGTCGCCTGTTATCAAATTCCCACCCTGATAAGCCTCTACGTGACACATAGCCCGGGAAAAACGGTTTCAAACGTAATACTCACTGGCCATTACGCTGATTATATTCGGCGTGTTCACATCGATCAGATTTTGGAGTGGTTTCGTCTGGGGGAATGGCGAAATCAGTGTAACCTCATGGCCAACCGCAATCAGACCCCGGGCCAAAGCAACACCCACCGTATGGTGGGATTTGGAGCCCGTATGGAGCACCATCAGGTAGGAGTAGCCGTAGACCTGGCAGATCAACAGGAGAAGTAAAGAAACCAAACGCATTTTGCCACAGATTTGGATAAGACTGAAGAGTTTTAAGCTTTTCCGCTGCTAGATATACATTTGATAAGGGACTTCGTTCTTTAGAGAGAGGGAGACCTGGATTTATCTGTAGTTTATCTTTAGATTGCGGTATCTTAAGCATCGTTAGATCTAGTGAATCTTTGTGCTGTTTCATTTTCGTTTGCATTCATATATTTTTGTATAGATCATTAATATTGAAAATTTGACAGAGTAATATACATTTTTTTCCCCAAAAAGAATCCCAAAAATTCGCCGGAGAAATATACATATACATACATATATACAAATATATATCCAAAATATAATTTACAAGCCCTTAATCAAACCGTCCATATGTTTTCCATTTGTAGCATAGATATTTCCCTCTTAAAAACTCTAAACTTTTCTCTTTTTCTCTTCAATTCAAAGCTATCTTTTTCTCTTCTGCTAAAAGCTCTCTTTTTCTCTTCAGCTTAAAGCTCTCGTTTTCTCTGAAATTTGAAGTTCTCTTATTGCTTAAACAAGTTTGGTTAGGGGCTCTCTTCATATACTTGATTGATCATCACTTTTTATTAATCTCTTGAGTTCCCTACACTACGTGATGCCTCAGACACCAGCATTTAGTTGTACATTTCAAAATATTAGCAAATCCAATAGATAAGATAATTTGGAAGAAATATTTTATTACACAGAGGGAAAACAAGACTGAAATTTGAATAATTAAAGTTTGAAATTGTAGAAAAAAAATAAATGTATTTAATTTAAAAACTATATATTTTCACATAACAAAATATATATTTTACATTTAAATTTAAAATTTTCCTATTTAAAAACTATATATTTTCAAATAAAAAAAAAATGTTTTTTTAAATTAAATATTTTCTTATTTAGATAAAATATTTTTCCTACAAAATGAATATATTTTATTTATGTTAAATATTTAAGAAAGACTTTTTAAAACGGAATATATTTTATTTTTAAATTACATATTTTCTTATTTAGATTAAATTTTTTTCCTACAAAAACAATATATTTTACTAATTGAAAATATTAAAAAAAAACTTTTGAAGAAAAACAGTTGTATATTTTTTAAAAATTTTTTTATTTAGATTATAATATTTTTCCCACAAATGGAATATATTTTATTTATTTATAATATTAAAAAAAAAAATACTTTTTAATAAAATTTATATTTAAATCAAAGTGAATTCTATTTAAAACACGAATATTTAATTCAAATAACTCAAATGTTTCTTGATCCTATGCCACTTTTCTCTCAGTGTAGGTGTATATATATTCCAAAGCCCTCTCTCATGAGTGTAGGGCATGCAAAAATCGACTTAAAGTAAGCCTTTTGCAATCAAATGAGTATGTATTTTTGCTTACCATTTGGCTGGTGTCCAGTCTCATGCGGAGTACAGGAATTTCACAATAATTGAGTGTAGATATATGCAGCATATCTATAAGAATTCGTTCAGTCTGTGGCAGCAACGTGCTCCGTGCGGTCGGTCGAGGTCTCTCCCTCGCGGTTCTTGAGTTTCATCAGAATGCGTATTCTTTCGCTGTTTGTGGCGCTGATCTTCAGCTTGTGTTTTTGTGATGGCTACAAGTTCCTGATGGTCTTGAATTCTCCAGGACGATCGCACTTCAATGTGGGGCATGCCTTGGCCAAGGGCCTGGTGCAGGCGGGTCATGAAATCACAGTGGTTTCTGTGTTTCCTCTGAAGAAACCCATGCCTGGTTATCATGACATCTATGTGCCAAATGTGATAGGGGCTATGAGGGGTATGTATAAATGGTATAAATGGTGACCAGTTGCTGATGTTTTCATTTCTAGGAGACCTGGCCGCCCTGTGGCAGTCCATACAGAAACCTCTCACCCAAAAGCTAATAGATCATTATCATATGGGTTTTCGCCTCACACGAGCACTCTTTGTGGACCCCAATTTTCAGGATCTGTTGAAAAGCAATCGAACTTTCGATGCCGTCATCTGCGAGACCTTCTACAACGATGCCCACTATGGTTTGGCTGAACATTTCCAGGCCCCACTCATTGGCCTGAGCACGGGGGGAGGACTGACCTTCATCACGGATATGGTGGGTGGAAAATTGTTCTCTATGTTCTTAGCTAACTTTCTGTTTCCTCCTTTAGGTGGGCTCCCCAGCTCCCGCTTCGTTTGTGCCCCACATAATGTTGCCCTTCAACGATCACATGTCGCTGTATGAGCGCCTGGTCAATGTGGCTTTTCTGGCCTATGAACGTCTCCTGCTGGACTACTACTATCTGCCCGGTCAGGAGGCGCTCTATAAGGAGTTCTTCCCCGAGAACAAACGCTGCTTTTATGAGATGCGCCGTAATGCCTCGCTGGTGCTCATCAATCAGCATGTATCGCTGAGTTTTCCACGTCCCTATGCGCCCAACCTGATTGAAGTGGGGGGCATGCACATCGATGGAAAGCTCAGTCCCCTGCCCGCGAAGATTGAGAAGTTTCTCAACGAAAGCGAACATGGAGCCATCTACTTTTCGATGGGCTCGAATCTCAAGAGCAAGGATTTGCCGCCGGAGAAAGTGCAGGAAATACTCAAGGCCTTCAGGGGCCTCAAGCAGCGTGTGCTGTGGAAGTTCGAGCTGGAAGATCTGCCAAATAAACCGGATAATCTGTTCATCTCAGACTGGTTCCCGCAGACGGATATACTGGCCCATCCCAAGGTCCTGGCCTTTGTCACCCACGGCGGTATGTTGAGCACCACAGAGTCCATATATCATGGAAAGCCCGTCATCGGTCTGCCGATCTTCAGTGATCAGTTCTTCAATATGGCCCACGCCGAACAGACCGGCTATGGTATTATGTTGGACTTCAAGTCACTGAAGGCTGCAGACCTCAAGGCAGCCATCGAGAGGATCACCAGTGTGCCCTCTTACACGGAGGTTATCCGCGGCATGTCCTTCCGGTATCGCGATCAGCAGCAGACTCCTCTGAAGAACGCCGTCTACTGGGTGGAGCATGTGACCCGCCATCAGGGAGCCGCCTACCTGCAGAGTGCCGCTCAGAGGTTGAACTGGTGGCAGTATCACAATGTGGATGTCCTGCTGATTATCTTTGGAGTAGTGATCCTCCTGCTGGTTGCTCTGCCGCTTGCTATTTGGCGACTGCTAAGGGGGGTCTTTGGAGGCGGGAAAACACAACCCCAAGGGGAAAAGAGAAAACGCAACTGAATTTTAGTTTAATTTCAATAATAAAAGATCACTTGAATGACTATAAAGTACTTTGATTTATTTTTCATGATGGTAACTTTATGATCCTAATTTTTCTATCAAGACCAAGCCTTTTATTCCGTTTATGAATCGTTTATGACTCATTTGAGCCAGCTTAACAAATTGTATCAAAGTCTTCTTTGGTTCCTCCTTCATATATGTATGTATGTATTTCTTCACCAATTTCTGGTCTATTAAGATTTTGTAATAATATTTTCATCATTTATAGTTTATCTCTTTTTTATTCCCTTATTTTACGATTTCTCGCTTGTCCTTTTGTTCATTAAAAATCATAATTTCCACATTTATTAACATACTTTTGATTCTATATATTTTTTTGTTGTATTTTAGAATCTTGTTTGGTATTTTGTAATATTTTAATTATATTATTTTTGGTATATCTCATATTTGTTGATGATTTTTAAAATTTTTAGTATTGGCTTTATAGTCATTGGTATATTTTAAGTCTGTTTCAATATTAAATATTTATTTTAAGAATTAAGAACCTGTTTTAGTATTTCCAGTAGCATTATCTTAGTATATCGTATATGCTTTTCTCGTAATTGCATTTTCAAAACCTCAAGGTTTCAAGGTATACCTTAATGTCGCCTTTTTGTAAAGGTAGAAACCTTTATTCTCTCTCTTATTGTTTCCTATTCCAATTCTCATTCTCAATTGCTCAAGTTCGCCTTCTCAAAATATCACTGCCTAAAAGTATGCCACGCAAAATACATGGCCATACGCTGTGTTCAATTCCCTACCAATCAAGCGCGGCCTAAAAGTATGCAGCAGAAAATTCGCTCAAATCTTTCGCCCACCGAAACAAATAAAATTGATAATTCTCATGACATGATATCAATGCACACACGTGTGCCGGCCCGGCCGCTGATTGATTCCCAAACGAAATGTAAATGACAAAACAAAATTGGGAATGCAGACAACGATGAGGGACACACAAATTTAAATAGGCATTCAAGCATTAAATTAAACGAAAAGTATATAAAAAAAAGGAGGGAGAAGTGTAACATCCGCCCACGTCCAGTCACACCAAAAAGAAGGAAAACGCTTCAAGGTGCAAAACGGCTGAAATGAAGGAAATGAAATGCCAAGAAAAAAACGAGACAAAGTTTCCCCCACATACACATACGAGATTTTCCGCGAGTGTGCAATGACATTGAAAAGGCAAAGCCCCAGAGGAAGGAAAAGAGGTGAAGAGGAAGCAACAGAAAATATGGAAAATATACGTAATGTGAGCCAAAAAGTTAGCTATGCACGAAAAAAAGAGGAAACTTTTTTGATGGCGCTGAAAGTGAAAAGTAAATTTACGCTAAAGTCGCCGAAATGCACAGTAAAGAGAAAATAAAAAATTTGAGAGTTGAGTGGGTTGCCCAAAAAGAGAGAGGGGACTGGGGCGGAGGGACTTGCAAAAGAATATGAAATGGCAAGAAAAAGCGAAATGAAACGGAAGTTCAAGTTGATTTGTTTGCAGGCAAAGTGGAGTGAAGTGAAGTGAAGCTCAGTTTCTCCTCTCGGGAACACACACACACACACGCACATTGGCAGACATTTTGCGGAAGCGGAAGTTGCGTTTCAATCGCACTTCTGATGAAGTTAACAACAACAAGGACATCACATCGCCAACAGATGGCAGATGGCTATGGGGGCAAATAAATTTAGCATAACAATACTTTGCAAATTTCTGCGTATGCGTATGCGTATTATGCTGATGATTATGATGCGAATATAATGCCCATAAATTTGGCCAACTTTAAGGCCTACTTGGCAAGTGGAAGGAATGGCAGTTTTTGTTTTTGTTTTGATGGTGTTTTTTGTTGTTTTGGGGTTTCCGATGCTTTAGTTTTGAAGATAGTACTTTGTAGGAGGGTCGATAATGTTGTGGAATGAACATAAGGTGCGATATATATTTTTTATAATTTTTCTAGCTTAGGCCGCTCGAATGCCCTGTGGATCATGAGAGCTCTGTCCTAGAGCGGTAACAGTGATCTGTAACCGGTAGCGGCCATAGACTGTTAAAGAAGAGCGCTAACAGTGACTGTAACAGACTGTGGCCGCAGACTGTAAAAACGAACGCTAACATGGAGCCGTAACTGTCAGCGGCGACAGGCTGTTAAAGAAGGACTCTAACAGTGATCTGTAACCGATAGCGGTCACAGGCTGTTAAAGAAGTGTACTAACAGTGAGCTGTTACCGGGAGCGGCCACAGGCTGTAATGGATGCTGTTAAAGGAAGGCGGTAACAGGCTGCTAACCTGGGGTGTTAACAGTGCTTCTGCTCTGTAAGAGCTGCTGCTCCCGAACAGATGGGTTTATATTTATTTTTTTTAAAGAACTAAATAAAGAATTTTTTTGCCGTAATCAAGGGTTTTCAAAAGGGTTTTTATCATTCCCAAAAATACAAATTATTCGAGGAATTATTAGTGCCCCAAAAGTTGACTTAGCAAACTCTTTATAGATGTCCTTCTGCTTCTGTCTCGCCTACCCCCCCCCCCCCCCCCCCCCCCTTTGTGTCATATCTTAAGGCTATGATTCATTCATGTGATATATGGCCATGACTGCGGGTCCTTAATGTCGCAGTATCGTAATTAAAAAATGCATTGCGGCGTATCAGACATCTTTTCTTTTTTTTATATATGTTTTTGTTGTTGTTTATTTTTTGGCTTGCGCTGATATATCACACATTTATCCACCCTCGGGCGCACACAAACACACACATACATATGCAGAGATTGCGCTTGAAATGACAGTTGCACTTGCACCATGACAATGCGCCCCAAATGGAATGGAACGAGTGATGGAGAATGGAGGACGGGGGACGGGGGCTGTTGCAGCGGAGCAAATTGATTGCGATTGTTGAGTTGATTGGCAGGCGAAACACACACACACACACACAGATAGATTGACTGCATGCGACGCGACACTGGCAAACAAAAGCGCCGCTTTGTGGTTTTCATTGTTGTTGGGGACTTTAACCCCTCTACTTTTTTAATACTCTATCGCAGGCCACAAAGAGGCAGCCATGATTGCTCAGTTTTAAAGATATATATCTCAATGAAAACATACCAAAGAGCTCAGCTTTTTCTGCACAAAGCATATATCTATGCAAATCAGAGCTTACAGGATCGAGAGTACTATTAAATGTAGCTGTCAGATACAACAATCTTCTCTTAGTTGATACTGAAGCTCGAAATGACACGCGCATCATGCAGCAGCGCCCATCGGTCGTTTGAGCGGGACGTATGTTGCGCTTTTGCCAGCTAAATCGGGTTAAAATCATTCTACTATATCTATGTACCTGGTAGACTAGGGGCCAAGACCTCCAAGCAATCGCTTTGCTCGGGCACCAACCCGCGGCTCACTAGCTTCGCTGGCTCAGGCCACGACGACAACCCAAAAGTTGTTTATATATTAGAGAGATTTAATTTAATTTAATCTGTATCTATATATTTTTGCACGGACACCAACCCCCGGCTCACTAGCTCGCTCCGATATCAGCAAAATATCAGGCCACCACGAGGACCCAAAACTTTTTTATATAGTAGAGGGTTTTATTTTAATTTATATCTATTTTTAGATTATATCCTTGAAAGAGTATCCAAAAGCCCTGCCCTTCTTATTCCTCCTCCTGTTTTTTATCTCTCTCCTCCTCTGTTGCCCCCAACCTTGTTAAACCTTTTTGCTGCTTTTTCTGCACCCATTTATTTTTTGGTTGTCGTTTAAATTAAGTTCGTTGTGTCTTTTATCTGCTTTTCTTTTCAGAGAATTTTTTCTCTTTTTTTCTGATGAATTTTTAACACGCGCAATTCACAAGATGACAGATAGTTTACTGCAACTCTTAGAACAAAGACAAAGATGTTTGTGTGTGTGTGTTTGTGTGGCAGTATCTGTGTGTCTTTGTTTTGAAAATCAGCTGCAGGGAAACAGAATGTCTGTTTTGATTGGAAGATTGCTAAACAAAAGACGATGCAAATGCCAGACGAAAATAAACTGAAATAATATAACATAGATTGCATTTGCAAAGGTAAACGAAAATCTTTTAAATATCGCAAAGACAAGCCAACAATTGTAAGATATTTTTCATAATTAAATATTTCAAATATTTTCAAACATTGGATACATATAGTATATGTACAACTATTTATATCTGAAGGATTCGCCTTTATTAAATTATTTATTATTTATATTTTAACGAGTATCACATTTTAATTTCATCAAACAAACAGAAAGTTACTTTCGGGTCTTTGGGCGAGGCTTCAGGGGCGTGTAATATGTATTTTCTGTTTGACAAAAAGCCTCAACAAATCCGCAACATTTTCCGATGCAATGTTTATCAGAATTTTGCAGGTTTTGTTGTTTTTTTGAGCGTATGAAATAAATTGATTAAATTTTGAATGCCTTTGGCATTTGTTTAAAAGTTAATTGTTGGCGCTTTCGGCTGTTGATGCAGTTTGTGCGGTTTGTAAAGCGAAAATTAAATGCGGTCAGTGCACTGTCCATCCATTGAGGATGTTCCGGTAACGTATTTCCATTGAAGCCCAAAGTTACAGCCCTGCAGTGAGGCAAATTCCAGGCGTTTGGCATTGCCGGAACGCCCCTCCTTTGGCCAGTAGCAACAAAAAGCCATCAAATTAGTGTGTCGGCTCTTTGCCAAAGTTTGAAGCTGGCGTTTTCTTCTACGAGGAGTATCCCCCAGCCCCAGGACCCCCCCACCCCCAGCAGTAGGCGGACATCCATCCGCAGAGCCAAAGCCAAGGCAAGCGCGTGCCAAGTTGCGTTTTTTGTTGTCCCGTTTTGTGCCCCATTTTCCCCCATTTTCCAGTGGCTTTCTTGTCTCTTTTTTTTTGTATTTGTGTATCCCTTAGTTGTATATAGATAAAAGGGTATATTGGGTGGGAGTAGAGGTCATACAAATACGAATATTTTTAGCTCCAAAAATTATTTTTTAGTGAAAAATATTATCAGATTATCAGGTTTTTAAATTGAAA